TGCAATTGAACTGATACAGCTGGATCTAGTGTGGATACTGTTCTAGGATTAGGAAGGTTTCTCTAACTGCATCCACATAGGGGGTTGTGGCTATTTTAACTGACCCTGCGAAAGCAGCCCAGCTTGGGTGTGGAGACACGGCCTACCAGGACTGCCGGCGAGGACCGTCTTCGTACAGCCCCCAGCACAACCGGGTCCTGCTCCGTTGAACTGATACAGCTGGATCTAGTGTGGATACTGTTCTAGGATTAGGAAGGTTTCTCTAACTGCATCCACATAGGGGGTTGTGGCTATTTTAACTGACCCTGCGAAAGCAGCCCAGCTTGGGTGTGGAGACACGGCCTACCAGGACTGCCGGCGAGGACCGTCTTCGTACAGCCCCCAGCACAACCGGGTCCTGCTCCGTGCTGGTGGCTCCAAGGCACTACCGTAATATACCTAATAAACAGCACTTGGGAAAAGCCCCTCTTGTCATCTTCCCGTAACACTGCCCAGGAACATAATGCCTGGAGAGCAAACACACTCTGGTACTTACTCCTGGTATTTTGGCGAGCACACGATGGCTATGGACTCGGCTAGCATCATCTGGTAGGAGCAGTGCGTGTGCAGGTCCACGCTGGAAAGGAAAGCTGTTTGTGTTGGGTGAGTCTAAACGGACACAGACAAAGGAAAGGGTTAAGAAGCCAGGCCACAGATCAACCGGCAGCAACTACTAACAAAGGGCAGGTTTTCTGTTCCATGATCTCGATCAGCAGAGCAGGACCGCGCTAAACCTTAAGAATATCTGACCAGCCAAACACCCACTTCAAACTATGCCCCCCTTCTTTGTCTGATGGTAGACCGAGAAAGACACAGAGAAGGGGGTAGGCTGCCGAGGAAACCCTGTACCTCAGTGAGCTCTGAGACACAACTACAAGCTCTAATGTTCGCACCTTCACATGTGAATCCTCACACATATTAACAAAATGCAGCCCCTTCTGGGGTGGCAGCGGTTAGCTGTTTAATTCAGCAGCCATAGTAAAAGGGGTGAGATTCTAGGATCCAGACATGACTGCAGGGGCCACACAAAGAAATGGGTCAGTTAGAATTTGGCCCAAGCCTTGGATCTGACCCCTTAGCTCTTCCAAAACAGTCCTGGGGTCCGTCAGGACCTTTGGTTTTGTCTCTCATCCTGGCATCCTTAATTGGAACGTCTAAAACAATGAAAATCGGTTGGCGTCAGGTGGACTGAATGGGATTAGAACAACTCTCCCAACCCTCGCTCTTCCCTAGAGGAAAAGGCAGGTGCTCTCTGCAGGTCCCCTGGCTCTTGGAGAGAGAGAGGGAGGACGCTGGGAAGCTAGTGCCCTGGGGGCTTCCCGGCCTCTCTCCAGTAGTTGCCAGAGTTGGCAAGGCAGCTGCCCCATTGGAAACAGTGTCCCGCAGCTCAAGGTGTTTTGCTTGGTGTTGGGCACTGCTCCCGAGGCGGAGGGAGCCCAGACTGGGCCCTGCAGGAGGGGGATCTGGAGCTGGCTCGCCGGGGCGGGGGCAGCATATGGATGCCTGGGAGCAAAGCTGAGGAAAGCACTGTCCCGGGGAACTGCCAGCCGGGTTAAGCAGAGGCACCCGGCTCAGAGCTGGAGCTTCTGCAGGGAAGTTGAGCATCTGGGACAGAACACGCGGCTTAAGCGCGCCGGGAGGGGGAACCTTCCACTCAAGACCAAATGTTAAAGGGGCAGCACCCACATCCCTGAAGGGGGGAAGGGTGAGATCCAGAGAAGGGAAGGAACTTGCCCAAGATTTTGTTTCTGTGCACAGTCCGTTTGGGGCAAAGTAACGACTTAAAGGGGGCGGGGGGCTGCCAATAGGGTTTGCCAGATGGGATCAGAGCACGAACCACCTGGGCCAGCGTCTCACCTCCAGCTGCGGCACAAGAAGAAACCCCACAGAGGATGCTCCCCCACAACCCTATCCCCTCTCCAGCGCATCTGCCAGGCCAGGCCCGCTGGCTCCCGGCAGCACTTACGTGGATCCAGCCCAGCGTGATGAGGTCGGCCTGGTCCTGAATCAGGAACAGTTCCTCCTCGTTCTCCGTGTTGCAGTAATCGGGGCCTCCGTGTTGCTTGGGGACGATGACGTGCGTGATCGTGAACGCGTTCCGCAGCTGGAAGACAGCGGGGGAGGGGGGTTTACAGGGCAGGGTGGTCACAAGAGGACAGGGCTCAACTGCTCTCCAAGGCCGCTGAAGGCAGGAGATGTCGTAATGGGCAGCCAGGGACATTTAGGCTGGATGTCAGGGAAAGCTGTCTGGGGCGTTAAGCTCTGGAAGAGGTTACCAAGGGAGGCCGTGCGTTTTTAAGAACATGATGGTCTAGGGCAGTGTTGCTTAAACATTTTAAGGCTGAGGAACACCAAATCATTTTTTTTTTTTAAATGGGGATTTTTTTTGTTGAGCCAAAAAAAAGTTGTCTGCCCCTTTAAGGGCGGCCATTTAAACTGTTGTTCTCTGCGGCACACCACCGACTTAAGAAACACTGGTCTAGGCTGACTTGGTCCCGCCTCAGTGCAGAGGGCTGGGCTAGGTGACTTCTTCCAGCCTGGCATTTCTGTGATTCCGTGTCTGATCCCACGGGGCAGTGGATGCTGGACAGAGCAACCCAGCAGGGCACTGGTAGGTTTCCATGAGGTTGCACAAGGCCTTAGGCCTTTTGACGGGCCCGACCCCGGAGCAGAGGCCTAGTGGCCTTTTGCCAGAGTGCTAGGCAGCCAGAAAGCTTCGGCACGCACCCTATTGTAAAAACCTTCCCGTCGCACCCCACCAGAACGCCTGGACATTAAGCTGGACGAAGTTATCAACGGGATGAGGAGAAGCGGTCACCAAGGGGCTGCACCCGATGCTCCAGGAGGAACAGGCCACTCCCGGGTCCCCCAGAAACCTTGTCATTTTGAGGTTGTCAGTTTGACTCTAGCCCACACAGGGACTGACTGGGTGGGGCTGAGCTCCCAGTGCCGGTGGAATGAATGGAAAGCCACGTCCTGTGCCGTCCTGGACGTGAGAGTGAGCAGGGCCAACCTCAGTCCCGTGCAACGCCAATTTCAAAAGCAACATAGGAGCCGGCTTTAGAGCCAGCGCCGGACAAAGCCACAGCGGTTTGTCTGGGAGGCCAAGGGGCCAAAGGAGCAACACGTTATCGACATGGCTTTGCCATCGGATGCCAGCTTACCAGCTTCCCGCAGAGGATGCCACACGTCTCCACGCCCCTGGCTGTGTTGGCATCGGCTACCTGGAGGAATTTAGAGCACAGCTCCTTGGGGATGACGACATGGCGAAGGCCCTCGATGGTCATGTCTGCGGGGACAGGAAGGCCAGCTGTGAACACAAGGCAAGATTTACTGCCACGTACATCAGGAGAAGTTAATACCCCAGGAGGAGGAGAAATCATCTCGGCCCCAAATGCTCAGGGCCGAGGTTTAAAAATAAAACGAGGGTCACAGCGCTGCGCTTTGTGAAGCATGGCTGCTCCTTAGCGCCTGCACAGCCGTGCTGAGCCCTCTCCCAGGGCTTTCCAAAGGCAGATCAACGTTCTCCTCCCCACTGTGGAGATGGGAAAGAGGGGCACAGAGATGGGGAGAGGCCCTCCTACAGCGATGGGGCCAGGAACAGAAGGCAGGTGTGGGTAAATCACATTGTTGGGAAGGAGTGACGGCCAGTTGCCATCGCTCCGGGAGCAGGTCGGGCAGCCCAGTAAGTCTCAAATTGACTCTCTTTAAAATGGGAAGTTACCAAAAAAAAAAAATGAAAAACGTCCTGGGTTTCCCTGCTGCTCTGGTAACAAGAGCAGCGCCCCACAGCCGTGACCAACAGGGTTAACACTATCTAGACAAAAGCATGCTGGGCCCCACCGCCACCTCACACTCGCGTGACTCCACTGAAGTGCCTCCCAGTTCGCATGCACAGGAAGGCTCGGTAACTTCTCCTCCCATCTGTGCCCTGAAACAGAGGTACCTGCCTGAGAGCCTTTCTGGGGATGCTGTCAAGATGGAGGGAGAAGCCAAAGGGAAACAAACGGCAAAGCAGCACCGACTTGGCTCCAAAGTTTGATCTCTGGTCACTGGGGATTCCCACCAGTGGCCGAGAGGAGACTCCGGCCCTTGATCGGAGCGCGGCTACGGCCTGTAGGTGGGTGCAGCTAGAGCTCAGTCCTGCGAGGAGCTGAAAGCTGGTGCTCACCCCTGCAAAGCACTTTGCTTGAAGTGGAACAGGCCTATTGATGGGCTGTGTTGGAGCAGGGGCCAGAGGGCTCAGCCACTTCCAGGTTCAAATGCCGAGGCCTCTTAAGGGGGAAGAAGCTATTTAGGGTTACTCCAGAGACCCTCTTGGGCAGCACAAGCAGCCACCACCATTACCAGCTGCTCTTCCGGGGCAGGCGCAAAGGTGACGGGTCCTGAATACATTATGTGCACGTGTGTTTGGTTAGTTTCTTGAGTCTGACACCATTTGTGACACCTCTAATTCCAGCTTCCAGCCAGAATACAGCCACCAGTGGCACCGAGGGGGGAGGTTAACGCCCGCGACACCGACGGGGGAGGGGGAAGGTTAACGCCCGCGACACCGACGGGGGAGGGGGAAGGTTAACGCCCGCGACACCGACGGGGGAGGGGGAAGGTTAACGCCCGCGACACCGACCGGGGAGGTTAATTCCAAATGTACTAACTGGTTTCTGGGCTCCCCAAAGCTCCGGGTTTCAGAGATCTGTCCACCACCGGCAGCTTCGGCAGCGCCGCCTCTGCGACTGGCCCGGCAGGCAGAATCTTTGGGGTTAAGTCAGTTGGGGGCTTTTCCACCCCTGGGATCAGAGGCCCCCCCAGAGACTCAGGAGTTAGGTCAGGCTTCCCGAACTCCTGCAGGATTCTCAGCCGTTCCTTCTCCAGCTCCTTGCGTCGGATCAGCTCCTCGAAGGCATGAAATTGCTCCTGCTCCGCCTGCTGCTGCTTCATCTGGGCGACTCTTTGCCTCTCCTCCTCTAGCTGCTGCTGCAGAGCCAGGTTACGGGAAAACTCCTCCTGCTCCTTCTTCTGCAAGGGGAGACAGGCAGGGACAAGGGACAGGTCACTGGGGCTCCCGGCACTGACAGGGTAACGGAGCAAGGCACAGTCAATCCCATAGACCAAGGGCGGGAACCTCTCTCCAGCCGGGGGCCACCAACCCACAGAAAGTAAAGATCGGTCAGACGCCACACCCAAGCAAGAAGCAACAGCAGCAGCCAAACCCCCCCCGAAACTCCAACTTGGCTCTCAGCAAGCAAAAACCAAAACACCTCACTGACCTGGCTCCTGACTGAGAAGCAACCCCCCCTCCCCCCCTCCCCCAAAAGAAAAAACTCTCATGCCATGGTGCGGGGGAAGATTCAGAGGGGAGAGCAGGGGTGCAGAGACTTGCTGCAGCAGGATCAAAGCAAGCTGGGGGAAGCCGCCCCCCCCCCGCCCACAGATTATCCCCCCAGAAGGAATCCTCCGTAAATGAGCTTTCCTTCTACATGAGCTGCCACACACAGCCACACCCCGCAGGGGCAAGCCATGCTCAACAAGTGCAGGCGGCCACTGGAGCTTTGGCCCATGGATCCCAGCTGGCTGTCACATCCAGCTTCAAGCCGGCTCTGATCCCCGTTGCGTGAAGCGCGTCTGGACTAGGGATGTGAACGTTTAACTGCTTAATGGGTGGAGGCTGGAGCAGCTCCCTGCCTGCCGTGGGAAGAACGGCTGCTCCAGCACCACAGGGGGCCTGGGCTCCCCATGGGTGGGGGCTGCTCCGGCCCCCTACCTGCTCCCCTTTAATTAGTTAACGGGTTAAATAATGTTTAACCGGTTAACCGCTCCAACAGGATTTTACATCCCTCGTCTGAGCTGAGCGGTTTCGGTCTGAACACGCCGATCAGACAATGAGGCTGAGGGGAGAGGGGGGCAGATGGGGTAACAAAAAATCGGATGTGTGCAATTCTTAACGGCCGTCACCTGGCAGCTTTCTCCCTGCCTCCCAGCCAAGGGGAGGCTTGAGGAGCGACCTGCGGGAGAAGGAGGCTGGGCTGATGGACTCCGCAGGGGAGTTTTTCCTCCCGGTGTGAGGGCCCGGCAGGGAGGACACACAGAGGTGACGTTGGAAGAAGCCGCGAGTCTCCCAGGACGAGGCAGCCGCAACGCGCACACGGCGAGTTCGCTCCCAGCACCGTGACAACGCGACCTCGCGCAACCCGGCTCCCAGCCCCCGGCTCTCCCTGGCGGCACAGACGTTTCGTCACTTGCCTTTCGCTCACTGTACTCCGCATACTCCCGGCTGTACCTCTGCAGCAGCTCCTTCTTCAGCTCCTCCGCGCGGGGGAACGCCACTTCCTTGAGTTTCTGGAGGGAGGGGAAAGGAGGGCGAGGTCACGAGGGCAGCCGGCCTAGATGGGGGCAGGCGCCCGGCACCGAGCCAAAGCACATTGCGCTCCCGGCTGCGCTGCAGGAAGGGGCGTTGGGAGAGGTGAAGCTACAGGCTGGGACAGGGAGGCAGGAGTCTGCGAAAGGAGCACTCAACCCAGAGATGTGACTGGAGTGGCAGAGCCCTGCTGGTGCGTCCCCCCACAGCCCAGCGGGATCACATGCTGGCAGAGCGAGGATGCAGGGGCCTCATTTCCCACCCCCTAACTGGCTGCTGGGTGGGGAGGGGGCATCCATGCTTCCTGCCCCAATGGGCACAGTGAGAACCAGACCTGTGCAGCTGCACCCCAAGGAGCTGCACGAGGCTGGGGAGGAGACAGGCCCCGATTAGAGGGTCTCTATCCATAGGCGCTGTGGCCTGAGCACAAGACCGGCACTCGGAAAGTCCCGTGTGCCAACCCTGGCTGCACTGCTGGGCCATTGCAGAGACTTGTCATTTGGGGCCCTACTCAGAGGTGCAAAGCTAGCGCCGGGCAACCTGGGCTAGTGGGTGGGCTGCAGGAGGGGCTGCTCCATCTCAGCGGCTCCTGGGACCGGGCAGCCGCGCTCACGGAGCTAGAATTAGTGGGCTCGGCCCACTGACCCGTGGCAGCGCTGTGATTGGCCGCAGAGGAAGCGCTCGCAGTCACGGTGAGCAATCCGCATGCACCCCACTTCCCGGGCCCGGCTTCACGCGTCACAGGTCGGAAAAAAATGATGCAGACGGAAACCAGTGAAATCCGGCACCTCGGCAACGGTAAACGAAACATCTGTGGCCTCACACAGGAGCCCGCTGGCTGCCCGCAGGCCGACCACGGTGCTGCGTGCTCTGAATTCAACAGCACGCGGGGATCACCGAGTAGGCCGTTCCTTCCCCCCGCCTCAGAGCCAAAACGTAGGAGCATCCGTGCTCAAGACTCATTGAGCGCAGGCTTCACAACAGCCAACAGTACTCAGGTGCCGATCGGGGCTTGTCTCCACTGGCAAGTGACTGCGCTGAAACTCTGCCGCGCTCCGGGAGTGATCCCCCCCCCTTAGCGAGAGCGTTTCGGTGCCATCACTTGCCAGTGTAGCTGGGTTCCCAGCCCTGGGAGCTACGCCCCTCACGTTTTCCTAAAGCACAGGGAGACCCCTCCCCCATGCTGGCGCCGTGACCCCGCTGGTGGGTGCTGGCCCCAAGCGTGGACAAGGCCTTGGGGGGATGAACAGGCACCGATGTAAGAACACGGGCCAATGAACACCGAGGAGCGAGAGGAGAGCACGGCAACCCACGGACCACAACACCGGAAGAGCTAGGCTGAACGTCGGGAAAGACCCTTTCTAACAAGCCCTGCCCACCTGGGATCACCTCCCACGGGGAGGGGTAGGAGCCCCGTTCCGTCAGCGAGCAAGGGGCAGGCAGGACAACCCCACTGAGTGTAGCACAGGGAACAGGGTTGCAAGTCTGGCCGATAATGAGGAAACGGTACGTGAACTACAACTCCCATAAGGCACTGGGGGAGGATTTCCAAATCACACAGAAGCTGTTCTAGCTCCCTAATCAATTCCCATTTGGGGCTTTTCAGTAGTGAAGTTTCCGACCAAAATAAATGGCAGTTTTCCACAGAAACCACCTCTCCCTTTCCCTGACCAGTGAACAGGGAATAACCCAGCAGTGGGAGGGTGACCGGTCACGTGACCTTCCAGGTGCTTTTCTAGCTCCAACATCTAGGATCTAAATCAGTGGTTCTTAACCTTACTGCAGCCTGCACCCCTTTGGTTCTCACACCCCTTAGTAAAAATCATTGAAGTAGGTCAGCTCTTTAAACCTAAGGTAGATCATAAAAATCTGGCATGTCTCGCACCCCCCGAAAGGGCATCTCACACCCCCACAGGGTGTGCGCACCCCAGGTTAAGAACCACTGATCTAAACGGTTTCCCATAGAAATCCCTGAGCGCGCCTCTCGGGAACACCGCTTGGAGCGGTGACTCACCTTCACCGTGTCTTTCTTCTCAGGGAGGACGGCGGTTTTGTAATCACGGTGCTTCGGCAGCTTCTCTAGAAACAGCCTGAAAGGCAGAGCAGAAAGATGGCGTTTCCAGACAGTGGCTGCGAGGCGCAGGAAGGGGAGGGAGGACAGCAGCGATCATACCACGACACAGAGCGGCTCTCTCTGTTCCCAGCTGCTGTGCCCCGCGCGTGTGCTCAAGAACAGTGCGGAGCTTGGTCGTTCCTCATCACTAGAAATGTCCAAAGACTAGCCTCCTCCCCAGCTCTCTGGGATAGAGACCCCCTTTGTACAGCACCTGGCACGCTGAACTCTATGCTCTCAAAGCGCCCGGTCATGGACCAGGGCACCCCTGTTCCTGCTGCTGTATAAACACTCCCAGTCACTCTGCAATAACAACAACGTCCATTAAATGACGACAATGGACAACAACTTCCTTTAAAACTGGAGTGGAATGAAACAGCCCAAGAATACAGCAGAGTAGTCACGGTGGCCCTGGTTCAGGGCGACACGCAAGCACGGACGCTGTTCCACTGAAATCAGTGAGGTTCACGATCTCGCTAACTCGGGGCCTGCAACAGGGAACGAAACCATCTGTGCAGCAGCTGTAGAATCAGCTGATTTTTCCATTCACTGACTGGAATGAAAATTAGCTGAGAACCAGGAAGAGAGAGGAAGTGAAGAGAACAGGACAATTATTGACTGACCCAGCCCATCATCCAGTCCAAGCTGCCAGCAGCCCCGGGACACCCAGAGCATGGGGTTATGTCCCTGACCATACAGGCTAACTGCCAATTCTTTGGAGCCCAGTTATACTTTTGGTCTAAGCAAGGAGTTCCGCAGGGCGGTTGTGCATCAGTGGTGACTGGCAGATACTCAGACGAGGGACAGAAAGGACTAAGCAGTGGTGCAAGGTAATGTGGTACAAGGAAACAAGTGGACCCGACCGGACCTCCTTAGAATCAGAGCTGGCAGGCTGGTCCCAAAGATGACCAAGGAATGGCACACAAGCCATAGGAGCAGAGGGCTGAGGGAACTGGGTGTGTTTAGTTTGGAAAAGAGGAGATTAAGTGGAGGTGGGATACTTGAAAGGCTGCCATAAAAGAGGTGGAGAAAAGTTGTCCTCTTGCCAGACGGCAAGAGAGGCACTGGGTTCAAACTATAGCATGGCACAGAGGTTCTTACACTTAGCAACCCAAGGACCCCCCTTCTGGCCAGTGCTTCTCTATGGGGTGAAACAGCTGTCCTGCAGAGCACAGGAGGCACTGGGGGAAGGGAGGGGGGGAGCTGACTTGCAGACCCCCTGGAGTACCCTCCTGGACCCCCATGGGTCTGCGGACCTCAGTGAGAGCCGCTGGTATAGCTGATAGGGATGTGACAATGTACTCTCACATGTGGCCCGCCCACCACGCTGCTGCCCCTGTATCAGAGGGACATGGGAGCTGATGCTCACGGGGAGCTGGCCTGCCTCTACAGACTGAGGTTTGTGCTTCGGCGCTGAAGCCGGCCGTGGGGACATTCTGGCTCGGACTCTGAGACCCAGACCCCCAGGTTCCAGCACATACAGAGATAGCTACACAGTCGGTTTCCATGTGCAGGGCAAGCTGGAGTCTGGAGAGACAGGCTGGGACGTGCTGCCCTGGGGGGCTGGTATCTTGCTCTGGAGGTGTACTGATAAGGCCAAGGGGCAGGCGAGGGCCGTGGAATCAGCTGCCAACAACGGCGTTGCCTGCAAAGGGTGAAGCCGCTGCTTTGCTCCCGGGCAATATGGCCAGAAGCAGAGATCAGGAGCAGAGATCAGAGTTCCAGGGGCCTGGCAGCGGGATACAGAGTCTGTCCCTCCCTCCCTCTCACTCGCCAGCCAGAATCCAAGCCAGGCCAGCCAGAACTCCAAATCCCTTGCCACCGCCTGGTTTACACTGGCGACCTCAGTCCATCGCCCCTAAAGTGTAAGTCGCCCTCCAGCTGGGACCGTCCATCCGCAGGCTCAGCAGAGAGGCCGAGAACGGAACGTACCAAGAACTCCGCGTGAGATCAGGTGGCCCAGGCAGCCCCATGCCCTCCACCAGCTGGGCTGGGAGCACCATTTGCCCTGGGCAGGTGGGAGCGCACCCTTCTCTGGAGCCACGTAGGCCCCGGCAGAACTGCACTGAAGCTAAAGCCGGGATCCATTGGTGGACCAGGATTCCAACGGCAAACCCGGGTGTGGGACGCGGACGCGGAACCACCGTTTACAGGAGCGGCTCGGCCTCCCTCGCGGGGCGCGTGCACATATCAGAAGGGGCGAGTCAGCCATGGCCTCCAAGCCAATAGATCGGATTGGGGATTTGAAATGCTGGAGCCCAACAGAGAGGCCCTCCCCAGAAAGGCTTCTCTGGGGACCAGCGAGGATCTCTGAACGTAAAAGCACCAGCCACCACTGCGCGTGCTACAGGCCTAACGGCAGAGACAGCAGCTGCCTGCGATCCAGCCATGGGGGGCTGGGCGGGGAGGGGAGGGGAGCAGACACACGGCCCCACCGTGTCAGCAGGAGCTACACACGGCTACAAGTCAAAGGCAGGACAGTCAAGAGTTAAGGCTCCTACAGCGCAGAGCCAATCACAAGCTTCTCCTCTCCCCGTGCACACCCAGTCTCCAACTTCTATGTAAGTGCTCCCAGGCCTGGGTCTGCCCGGAGGGGAGAGGGCTGCGCATCCGTCAAAGCATGGACCCGCCCCCCGCATTGCAGATCTCCCCACGGCCTAAGGGCTTGGGGAAAGCAAGGCCGCGAGTCTGAGCGCCCCACCCCCGAGGCAGGATGCAGCGCTCTCCCAGGGAACGGAGCGGCCCTGGACTGAGTGGGCATTTCAGCCCCGATCCAGCCCAAGACTAGAGTGGGGAGGTGCACGATCCTGAGACTGCTCTGTGCCAGGGCAGCCCCCGGCAAGGCAGAAACACTCTGCTCTAGCTTGTGCCCGTCGCCAAAGGCAGCCAGAGACTTGCTCGGACCCAGGGACGTCAGTCCACACTGCCTCCCCTCCCCCAAGCTGCGGGAAGGGGATGGGGGTCAGAGTCACACCAGCGCGCTCCACCCGGGGCGCCCTGTCCGGAGGGCAGCCTGGGGCCCGAGACGTACTTGTGCGATTAGAGAAATGGAATCGAGCCAATGCGTGCGCTGCTGTGGGTACCTGGCTAGAGCAGTCACACCCCTCACATCCCATTGGTTCTGGGACACACTGCTCCCTAGCAATGCAAATTCTGGGTACCACCGACAGGACTGCTGGAACGGGGGAGTCCAGCCCAGTAACGGGGAGTGCAGGGGTGATTCATTTGGTTCAAGGCCAGAAAGGACCATTAAGATCCTCCACTCGGTGCATCCCCTCCCCAGGCCAGAGATCACCTTGTGACTGTTTCCTCAAGCCCCTCACTCCCGCTTGGGCGAGATCAGATCTTTCCACAGGTTGGTTCTCAGCCTGAGCGCCAAGGCAAATCGCCTGCCACGAGGGAAGTCGTGTTGATGGCTCATTACTCTCGTGACAAACGCGCGACTCACTGCTAGCCTGGCCTGGCCTCGCAGCTGCCTCCAACCCGCATCTCGCTCTGCCTTCGCCTGCTGGATTAGCTGACACAGGAGCGAATGCAGAAGGCTAAACTGGGGCATCTTTACCACAATGCAAGCGCCGAGGAACCCCACTGAAGTCAATGGAGCCATTTCAGAACAGCACCGAAGCAGGCGAGACCAAGAGACCAGATCTTATTGTCAGAGATGCTAAAACAGCCCTGCCCGGAAATCAAATCTAGGTCGCGTAAAAGGCTGTTTTCACTGCACAAGCATCAGGGACAGCAGACTGCGGGAACCCAGCTCTCCCTGCCCAGAGCTTTCAGGGACATGTCAACGCCACATGAACCTGGAGGCTCCTGCAGGGGGAACCCACCGTCTGTTCCCATTACGAGGGAGAAGCGATTAGAACATTTGTTTAGCTAAGGGAGCTTTACGCAGCAGCGTGCAAGGGACGGAGCTGGAAAGATTCCACTTGCTTTTACACTCACCAGCCTCCCCCAGAGCTCACAGCCATGTCCATAAAAGCTCAGGAAGGGGCACCGGGGGGAAAGAGGCTGGAGTCCAGGCTAATCAGAGAAAAATGCATTGAATGTAATGAGGTCAGATGAAGGAAATTGTACAGAGGCAAGTGCCGGCAGGACAAGGAGTTGCACGGCGGGTAACCACCACGCGCTGGGGGAACGGGCCCTCTCTTTGAAATCCCTCATTCGACTCAGGGACGTGCATAAATAAATGGAAGTTGGAGTTTGCAAAGGAGCCTAACCCCCTTAGGCACCTGAGAGAATCCCCTCGATCACACGCTCCAGAGAGCTGCCTCCACAGGCCAGCCTGACACCGCTCGAGAGAACGGCAAAGCTAAGCAGGGCCCGGCTGGGTTAGCAAGCAGATGGGAGGCGCCCAAGCAGCAGGCAGGGCTCTGCAGGAAGAGGAAGGGACCATTCAAAGCTAAGTCCCCGATGGCAGGGAGGCTCCGTCCTAAAGCCCAGACCACAGGCTCTGGTGCTGGTTTCCACTCACAGGGACGGCTCAGTGCCTCGCGGGAGCAAGCGCTCAACACACGTCCAGACTGACCCAGCGTCCCCAGGGAGGCACTGATAAGGGCACAGTCTTTCAGGTAAGTCTCTAGCTCTTGGCAGAAATCCCAGGCACTCCCAGAAGGTGTATTGCCGGCACAGGGTTAAGCAGCTGCCAGCTTTCTCTCCAGCGCCGAGAGAAGCCATCGCCCAACAGCGAGATGTTTGGAAACCTCCATGGCAAGAGGTGCTCTGCAGGGCGCGAGATGGCCCTTGCCCCTCTGTATGGCTTGGCAGCAAGGGGGGAGCTGGTGGCATCTCAAGATGGGGCCAAGGAAGAAGGTCTCCCTGCCAATCCAGAGCAGAGAGTAAGGATCACAGTGCACCAGGCTCAAAAAAGGGGTGCAAAGACCACCCTGCCTATCCAGGGGAGGCACCATTATGTTTCACACCAGATGGCTGCCATGCAGAGTACAGTCTTGACAGGTCAGGGACATAACCGAGTCCAACCTGTGACTTTAAAGGGAACATTTTAACCCTGTAACAGGCTTGCAGCATTTGCCGGACACGTTCCGCCTTATTGGTAGGTGCTGAGAGGGTGAAATGGGTTCACGGAGGCAGAGGACTCGTGATCCCCACCTCACTGTAGGGAGAAGGGATCTAGCATGCGCGCCAAGCAGTCCTGAAGGAGGAGCATGAGCATCAGGCCAGACAGACAGGCTGCTTTTAAGTGGAATTTTCCAATAGTTCATTTCTTTGCCAACAAAAGCAAACCCCAGGAAGGGGTAAACCAACTCCCTGCCGTGTGTGGACCTTCTGGGAAAGGCCCCTGCTCACAGACCCGGTTTCCTGGCAGCAGGATGAGCAAAGGCCAAGCACCTCAGCAGCAGAACATTCAGCACTTGACTAATGAGGAGAGGGCATTTCCCAGATGACCTGGGACAGCGATAAGCACTGACCCCAATCTCAACTCTGCCCCAAGCAGAGCTACACCGCAGTCACAGACGAGGTAAGCTACTCTCGAGCGCTATTCCCCCCTGCTATTCCTCCAACGAAGGAAGCCCCAACACCCAACCCTGTCCTAAAGCCCAGAACACAGGCTCTGTTGCTGGCTTCTACTCATTGGCCAGTAACGCAGGGATGTAAAATCCTGTTTTATCGGTTAACTGGTTAACTCAGGCCTGGGCAAAATACGGCCCACGGGCTGCATCCGGCCCACCAAGCCACCGGATCCAGCAACAGAGCTAGTGGGGAACCCCAGGCAGGCTCCCCTGCTTGCCCTGCACACCGCTCAGAAACCCGGTCAGAGAAGCTCCTGTCCACGGTGCTGGAGCAGTCCCTGCCTGTGGCAGACAGAGAACTGCTCCAGCCCCCACAGTTTAAATATTCACAGCCCTAGTCAGAGGTGAATGAACATCCAAAGCGAAGGAGAAAGGCATTAACAGGGCAAGGGAGCAGGAGAGAATTGCTTTAGGGTAAAGGGGTATTGTCAGAGACAGGGGCCTGGCATTGAGCGAGGAGGGGCAAACGGGGGGAGTGCCAAAGGAGCGATAAAGCAACCACACATCCGTTCAGCTCTCAGGGTTAACTCAAGCTTCCCGGTGATAGAGAATGCTTCTAGCCTAGATGGTTTGGGAGATGTCGGGCTTTAAAGCTGACCACTTCTCCCTTAGTCTAGCCAATCAACAATACCCATACTTGGCACGTATGTAATGCTTCTCATTCATTGCAAAGATGGGAAAGTGCTCTCAACCCATTCTTCAGATGGGGAAACTGAGGCAGGGCAGGGGCTTGCCCAAGGTCTCACAGGGAGCAAGTGGCAAAGCCTGGAATCCCAGCTTTCCCAACTCCTAATCCAGTGATTTATCTGGATTATAATGTACAAGACAACATGCCAACACCCCCCAAAGAGCGTAAAGTGAGCTGTCCCAATGCAAAGCAAAGGAGCCCTTACGTGATATACTTGTTGTACAGTATGAAGGCGCGCTCAATGTTGCCTTCTTCGGAATAAATTGTCGCCATGCGGATGATTTCGACCCCAGAGCGGTAGTACCGTCGTGGCGGGACATCCTCATTCACCTCCACAGAGCTCCCCAACTGGGTCAGTCTCCTGACGCGCTCCTCCGGAAGGAGGCTGACATCTGTGTGGTCCGGCATAAGGGCCAATGGGCTAGAGAGAGAATAAACCCAATGCATGAACTAGACGTTAGCCAGGCCTAGTCTCTTATATGCAGGTGATCCAAGGAGGTGGGAAAGGCTTTCCAAGGAAAGGAGAACGTGTGTGGGCTGATCAGTCCTCAAGGAGGAGCCCTAGGAGTAGCACAGCTCCCTTCAGAGCTTCGCTTTTCAGGGACATGCATTTTGGATTTGGGGGCAGGAATTCATTTAGGATTATCTGACCCTCGATTCAAATTATCTGTGATTTCAGGGGAATCAGGTGGAGGCCTCAATTTCCCCCATGTCAGGATATTTGTCGAGGTACCTTTTTAAACAGCTCACCAATCGTGTTTTAACACACTTGACGAAGTGTCACCTATTCCCACTTGCTTTAAGAAATTAGCATCTGATACAGGTAAGTGATACGTTCTCACCCGGATCCGATTCCATGGCAATCACTGCCACAGACTACACGATACCTAAACAGCAGCAAGAATCAGCAGAATTTCCCTCTAACTACCAGAAAGCACAGTACCCTATCCAACTCACTCCGCACCAGATCCCACCTGGCTCCTGCAAACATCCTCTTCACCCTAATGGTGCCAGATTCCTCTCTTCAATCACATTATTAAGTGACCTTCCTCCTTTCTGGTTCCCAATGATAATTTCAGGAGTCTGAGGCAGGCTGCAAGCACAGAGCACTACAAAGAATACAGGAAGCAAGGTAGAATGGAATGCTTTCATACAAGAATTCTTACCTGTGTCACCTTCCTGTTGATGGAGACCTCACCCCGTTGGAGAGCAGAAAGGGCCAGCCACCTGAATTACTAAAAGCAGACAGTTTCCAGGGATCACCCACTGGGAATTAGACAGTTTATGGGTTAAACCTTCAGTGAAATCATAGTGTTGAATCTGTAACATCCTGTAAATCCCTCAGCAAGGAGACTGCCACAATCACTGCATTATGGTTTCTTGCATCCTCCTACTAAACAAGGGGAAAGGTCTTGATTAGAGACAACCGGACCTGGGGAACCCTAAGAGTTGGAGGCAAAAGAAGTTGCATTTTTTCCAGCTTTACTGTTGAGGGCCTCAGCTCCTGCCGTTCGTAACCCTCAGCCTGCCAAAATTCCTAGTGAACAATGGGAACTGTTCCTAAATAAGAGCGGTAGGAGTTGGCCCTGAATAAACATCTTATACGCTGATAAACATAAGACAGGTGGAAGACACTTACATGCCATAAGGCTGCTCAGGGCTGAGCTCCATCACACCAGAACAAGGGAAGATCACTGTTCAGGAGCAGAGAGGAACCATCTGTCCCTCTCCTGCTCAGCATCTACTTAGAGTGAAGTCACTAGTGGTCTAATTCCCATCAGCACCTTGCGAGCTGCCGATAGATCAGGTCTTTCATCCAACTTTGCCAAAGGAGGAGTCTCAATTCACTGAAAGCCTCCCTCCCCTGCACGTGAATCGCCCCTGCCCCACTGAGCTACAGTTCCGGAGCCACCCACCACGAGCAGGCGAGGGGTTTGTCCCGGGGCTGCAAGAGGTCGCGTCCGGCTCCCTGCTCTCTCGCCAGGCTTGCCCAGGCACGGGGCAGGCACAGGAGCAAGCCCCCAGGCTGGGGGGCCCGAACTGCCGCCTGTCCCGGTTTTCCCTTGGGGGGGGCAGCCCCCCCCC